GCGTCTTACTAGTAAAGGTATCCACATCCTCATGTAAGGCCTGCTTCGTTTCCTTTCAAACCCGATGTGGGATGTGTTGCATCATCCACCCCCCTTGTGGGCCCAGCGGTCACCGCTGGCACATGGGCTGACTCTGATACCAACTGATGCAGACACTAGTAAGATATTGTCCGCTTTGGGCTACTTCCGCCACCTGCACGCCTTTGTTCTTGGCTGGGCTTCAATACACACCCACCAAAACGTGTCTTACTAGTGAAGGTATCCACATCCTCATATAAGGCCTGCTTCGTTTCCTTTCAAACCCGATGTCGGATGCGCTGCATCATTTTCGTTGCTATTTTGTGTGTTGTTTTCCCCCGTTTTAGGTCTTTTGTTAGGATTTTCCGGTCCTTTTTAGTCATTCTCGAGTTTTTAGTATTTTTCGTTGTGTTTAGCGTTTTCGTTGTTATTTCGTCTATTTTATCTTGCTTTTTTGTGTGTGTTCGATGGTGGTGTTTTCAGGTTCCCAGGAGTTCTGTGTAGGTTTGTTAGATTGGAGCATTCGAGGATTGAGTTTCTAGCTCGAGATAGACCCGAATAAAGCTCGTCGAGGCCCCGTGAGCCCAAGTCGAAGAATTTTTGGAGCAGTCCAGGCCATAGCGCCGCTATGGCCTGTTGAGAAGCGGCGCTACGTTTTGAAGCGATGGGCTGCAGCTCGAGCATATCCACCCTTAGCGGCGCTAAGGTCATAGCGCCGCTATGCCCCGTTTTGTAACTGAAGCTATTTTCTCGTAATTTCGAATTGGAAAGCTTAAGGATCGAATTTTAGTCAGTTTTTGGGGATTCATACTTCGTTTTTCAGAGCTTTTTCATCTCTAGAACATATCTTTCACTTGTTTTTCATTTTAGATTGGATTTGGAGATTGAACAACTCATTTTCTAGCTTGTGGATTCGGTTATTCGTTGTTCTTCTCAACATTGGATTCAAATTAATCGTAAGCACTCCTTTTCTTATTTTGATATGATGATGTTTGCTTGGGTTAATGAATGTATTGATGTTGAATCGATCATGAGTAGCTAAATTCGATAACTAGGGTTAGGGGATAATTGTTCCGGTTCAATTTCGTTGTACGATTGTTGATTGCTCAATCTAGACTAGTTATGTTAAACCTAGGGTTGAATGTTTGATCTTCATTTAACCTACTTAATCGATTTTAGAACCGAAATGGGAGAAATCGATCGACCTCGGCTTGTTTAGAATAGACTTGTTCGGAAACGTATTGTCTATGTGTTAATGAATTCGATAATTGCTCGTTTATGTTTATTCTCTTGTTTCGTGATATATTGAGAATGAATTACTAGATGAATTGGTTATTGCTTGTTCATTAGTTGAGTAGTTAATTGCCCGTTTAATGTATTGAGAACCGGAAACGATTGTCCCCGACACCCTAGTTCGTCTATACCATTTGAATTTTAACTTTGATTTACGAGTTTGAAATAGCTAATTTCGTTCTTATTATTTATAGTCGATAATCAAAAACCATCTATTTGAATTAGAGTGTTTAGGACATTCTTTTCTCTTTTCTTGTGATTGAATATTCGTACAAATAATCCGGTTAACCTTCCTTGTGAGACGACCCAGTGTCGAATCTTTTGATTCTACTCCGGTAAAAATATTTACAACACAGGGTACAAATCTTTGAATCATTTTCAACGATTTTCCAACTAAAACAGATTGAAAACTTAATAACATTTAAAGCGATATGCCTTTTCAAACAATTGATTTATAAATATCCATTCACGATAATGTTTGAAACAACATTTATAAATATTTATTTACTCAATTTTAATTCACTGCAAAAATAATATGTATATTCCAAATGTTTGCAAAATACGCATCAAAAATTTATGTCGAACTCAAAAATATTTATAATTTTTTTTGGATTATTTTTATATATTGAATACCTGAAAATATGCATGGTTAGTTTCCAAATTATATGGAAACAAACATAAACAACACAATTCTATGGAAACAAACATAATCAAGGAACGACATTTCTCAATTATAGTTTCTTACGCCATAACTATAAATAAGAGTAAAAAACAATCATTATCCCATGTTGGTTTTGGTTTTGAAGAACCAGTTACACGTTGCTCCTGTGCCATCAATCGAAACGATTTGAAAATATTTGTTTGTGGTGGCGAACAAATCACACAAAAAAATAAAGAGATTTTCAATAATATATGATATAAATTTCCCATATATATAAAGTCAAAATATGGGTCACATATGTTTGGCCTTAATCTAACCTAACTTTACAATACATAATATAATATCAGTAATATATAACTAACAATTTTGGTATGTATATTAACTCTTTCACAATTTAATGTCCTTCAAATTTTAAATAT